TAACTGAACAATTGGATTTAAATTAGAATTTAATAAAAAGAACAATTGTAAAATAATCATTTGTGTGATGATATCTAACTTTTACTAAAGCCTTTAGAACAAACAGAAAGTCTTAAATCGTTAATAAAAAAATATTAAAGAAAATCTAAAACAACAAATTAAAAATCTTTATACATGAAATGTTTAAAATTTCCTAACTTGAGAATTGAATATTTAAGAAAATCTTTAAATCGAAAACTTACTAAAATTATTAAAAAAAACCACTGGATAATATAAGATCTACACGGAGAAAATTCGACCGTCTAATTTAAAAGTCAGTACCGAACTGATCCAAGAATCTATTTTCCTAAACCTCGAAATATTTAAAATGGGCGGGTAAAAAGAATAGGGAACCACCAAAAGCCGAGCCATTCTCAAATCCTCTTCGGGTTCGCTTTTCAGGAACCGTCTGATTGGTCTGAGAAAACCTCAACTACCCTGTCGTTCCCGGTCTAGTTGGCTTTACTTGTCACAGATGTCGTTACTATGACCATTTCTACGTTATTTTCCAAATTATTACTAATATCCGTGTAAATATTATAATTACCGTAAACACAATTACACATGATTAAAACTAACCCTAACTAAAGTATATTTTAAGGTCTGTCCTTAAAAAACCAAAACAAATCATATTTATAATTTGATTTCATTAGGTTTCGCTGTTTCATCTTATATGTTTATTTATTTCACATAATTTTGGATATTTTGGAAAAAAAAGGAGGACAGTCCTTAATTTTCAGAATATCATTACGTGAACTTTACTTTAATATTTAAATTAACAATTATACTTGTTTTTATCCAAAATCTGTTTGTATTGGCCCGTGGAGGTCTATCGTGAGAAGAGTGTCGTCTTAGAGTTTTATTGCTTTCTAGGGGTTTTGCTTATATAATCTCGAAGTTAAAATTTAGGGTTTTACAGCTTTAATGATTGATGCTAGTCGTTTCTAGCTGTTTCAAAGCAAGTATTATATTAATTTATGGACGTGGGATTTTAAACCTAACAGAAAAATATTTAGTTTTTCCCAGAGAAACGGGTCCTTCATTCTAAACAGTTTTTACGATCTTCTGAAAAAATACCAATTTAAGGGCGGAAACACATGACAAAGTTTTAACAAGCTTGGTTTGTTGTCTGCTCCAAAATATTCCATTACAATATTGCTATTTATTTAAATGTTTTTTGTCCGCATTCCTTTCAGAGACACAGATCCAGCAGACGTACTTTAACTGAATTAATTTAGTTTGAAATTTAAAAAAATATATGATTTTTACCACCATTTTGAACACCAGTGATTTTTTTTGGGGGTTTTCTTTCTTGTAAATTTAATCTACTGCCTAATGTTGCCATATACAGGGTGTTTCAAAACAAATGCGAAAAACTTCAGGGGGTGATTCCTTGTTCAAAATAAAAGGTAGTTTGCTTTATAAACGTTGGGTCAAAAGTCAACCATTAGGGAGATATCGCGGTACAAAGATGGCGGAAAAATAATGTTTTTATTTTTTATCTTGAAAACGAAAAGAGATAGACTAATGAAATTTTACGGAAGCATTACTACTGTTATGAAACACACTTTCTGGTAATTTTTCACTTTTTTAAAGTGGAAGGGGTTGAAATAAACTACCCTATCATTCTTGTTAATGAAATTTAAAGAAAAATCTTATCAAACACATGCAAAAAATAATTTTGATAGATTAGTTTATTTAGAAACTTTTATCTCTTGTGTTTTTTGATATAGCTCACCGATTTGAAATTAAAAAATAAAATGTAAAGCATTACATGTCAGGACAAAAAAACATTTTTAGATAAAGAATCTAGTGAGCAGCTGTAATTTTTAGGAAAAATCTAGTCGGCCGCTGTCACTTTTTAGGATGTTTCTAATATTGTTTTATTTGACATTACCCTACTGCAATACGTTATTATCTAGATTATTATTATTATCATTATTATCACTAGATTCTTAATCTAAAATATTTTTAGTCCTGACATGTAATGCTTTACATTTTATTTTTTAATTTCAAATCGGTGAGTTTTATAAAAAAAATACAAGAGATAACAAAGTTTCTAAACAAACTAAACTATCCAAATTAATTTTTTTGCATGTGTTTGATAAGATTTTTCTTTAAATTTCGTTAACAAGAATGCTAGGGGTAGTTTATTTCAAGCCCTTCCACTCATTTTAAAAAAGTGAAAAAATTACCAGAAAGTGTGTTTTCATAACAGTAATGCTTCCATAAAATTTCATTAGTCTAGCTCTTTTCGTTTTCAAGATAAAAAATAAGAACATTATTTTTCTGCCATCTTTGTACCGCGATATCTCCCTAATGGTTGACTTTTGACTCAACGTTTATGAAGCAAACTACCCTTTATTTTGAACTTCACCTCCTGAAGTTTTTCGCATTTGTTTTGAAACACCCTGTATATTATCAAGATTTTTTTTTTAAATTTCCAAAAAATACCAAACTTTCAAAGTTTTTACTTGCGAATAAAACCATATAAACGTGTTTCTGGTGTCAAAATATTGTCATCAACTACCCCTAAAACTATTTGCACTTCTTTAATTTAAATTTCAAAGTAAAATAACTCTGTTATTTTGGACTTAGGTATTTGAAAAATGCAATCAACAGCAAAAACGAACTGCAGATGCAAGAGTAAACTGTTATTTTTCTCTCTACGTTCATACCGACACCTAGAGATGGCACCACCAGGATTATCTAGGAATTTAATAGCTTGCAGATGTTACCAGCATCAACAGACATTTATTTTGGGATTTTTTACGGACAGGTACGTTGATAACTATTATTTTATTAAATAAGATTAACATTAAGCCTCGATATTGTATGAAAAACATTAATTTCCACCGTTAATAAAAAATATAGTTACCTATTATAGCATGTAACGGCCATACCACGTTGGCGCACCAGTTCCCGTTCGATCACTGAAGTTAAGCAACGTCGGGCGCGGTTAGTACTTGGATGGGTGACCGCTTGGGAACCCCGCGTGCCGTTACTTTTTTCCTTAACGTTTCAGTTATTTTTTATTATTTATCATAGAATTTTTTAATTTTTTTAGTACATACTTTTTTGTTCCCAGATTTTTTTTTCTTAATTTTCAGTCAATAATAATATTTTACATTTTTTATTACTTATACCATAGTATTTAACAAATAATTTCATATTTTAAGTACGCATTAAAGGAACGAAATACGAGTCAGTGTCTCAGTTTGTTGTCTTTTTACCATTTTATCCAAAATATTTTTGTAATTCATACAATTTCATACATTTACATTGTTTTTTTGTTCATATGTTGTCTATGTTTATTTCCTTAACAGTAATAAGTATCCGTTAAATATCTACGCTACTATGGCCATATTGAAAATAAGTATCCATCACAGTTAATTATATGTATATAGGTATGCTTACATAAGCATACCTATTAAAGTATTAATTTGCGAATCATAACTGCCCATGTTATGATTTATATAGAAAATCCATGTTTATATATTCTTAATAAAACATCAGTCGAAGTTCAATTTGTACAAATTTAGGACATCTGAGTTGCGCGGCAGAAAAACAAAAATGCTATACCAGTTGTCCTAATTTAATCTGCCACTCTCATTTTATTATCTTTCTCTATGGGATTTAACAAACGTCCATTGGTTCAGTGTGAGTTCATATTTATGAATATCTTCCAATGAGGGAATAAAATACACAGCATCCTCACAATCTATATATCTATCAATTCTTACATATTTTTTCCTGTTTTGGTTTTTTAAATGTTCTTCTTAACAGTCGAAAATATACCAAAAACATTTCTAAATTATAAAAAAAGTTCAAATTGAGCAACGTATTGTTGCTCAATTAAGACTTGTATAATACACAATTTGGTATTTCTCTCAACAGTTAAAGGAAAAAATGTTTTGTAATTTTGTAAAAATATACGTAAAAACAAGTTTAACGTTAACCTAACCTAACTTATATATATTTGTTATATATTAGCTTGCGCGTATCTTTCATTTGAATTTTTGTTGCAATATTGCAGAAAAAACGTTTTAATCCTTCAAAACCTTTCAAAAACAATGTTTCTGTAGCAAGGTTTTATCAATCACGATACAACGTTGAGAAATCAACATTACAAAGCAAGCTGCTTGGGGATTGACTGCAATGTTGCAAATGTATTGTGAGGTTTTTTGCTTGGTGAGTAAATAAGTGCAAATATTTTCAGGGCTGATGGATCTCGAAAATGAGACATATATTTTCTCTTAACCGTTTTTCAAATCAGTCCAAAATAACCGAATTAATTTAGTTTGAAATTAAAAAAATATATGATTTTTTGCTTAAGTTTTGAGCACCACTGATTTTTTTGGGTTTTCTTTTTTGTAAATTTGATCTACTGCTTAATGTTGCCATATACATATTATCAAGATATTTTGCTTTTTAAATATATTTTTTTTAATTTTCAAAAAATACTAAATTTTTTCTTTGCGAATAAAACCTAATAAGCGTGTTTCTGGGGTCAAAATATACTACCTCTAAAACTATTTGCACTTCTTTAAGACTCGCCCTGTATAGATATTATTAATATACGTATAATTCATAAAAAAAACTCAGAAATGATCCAGTTGTTCTCAAAATTTAAGCAAAAATTCATATTTTTTAAATTTCAAAGTAAAATAACGCATTTCTTAAAAATGGTAAACCAAGAGCAAAAACGAACTGAAGGAGTAAACTCTTATTTTTCTCTCTAAGTTCGTACCGACTCCTAGAGATGGCACCACCAGGATTGTCTAGGAATTTAATAGCTTTGAAATGTTCCAAGCATCAGCAGGCATTTATTTTGGGATTTTTTACGGACAGGTACGTTGATAACTATTATTTGATTAAATAAGATTAACATCAAGCCCTAATATTGTATGAAAAACATTAATTTCCGCCGTTAATAGAAAATATTGTTACCTAATATAGCATGTAACGGCCATACCACGTTGGCGCACCAGTTCCCGTTCGATCACTGAAGTTAAGCAACGTCGGGCGCGGTTAGTACTTGGATGGGTGACCGCTTGGGAACCCCGCGTGCCGTTACTTTTTTTTCTTAATGTTTCAGTTATTTATTGTTTTTAATTATTTATCATAGAATTCTTTTAATTTTTTAATTATCTATTATTCATATTTTTATTTGTCAATTTTCAGTCAATAATAATATTTTATAATTTCTATTACGTATACTGTATTATTTAACAAATAAATTCATATTATTTGAAGTATGCATTAAAGGAACGAAACTCCAGTGTCTCAGTTTGTTTATTTTTTATCCAAAATATTTTTGTAATTCATACCAATTCATACCTATTATTTCATATATTTACATCGTTTTCTTGTTCATATGTTGTCTAGGTTTATTTCTTTAACAGTATTAAGTATCTATTAAATATCTACGCTACTAAGTCCATATTCGAAATAAGTATCCGTCACAGTCATAGATTTATGAAGTTATCATATATATTATCATATATATGGAAACATCCTAGATCAAGCCACTGGCATCAATTGGATCACATAATTGTTCGAAGGACGCATCTAAAAGATGTTAGGCTCACAAAAGGCAGAATAGATGCCGAATGCGGCACTGACCACCGACTTTTAATTTCAAAAATAAAAATCCAGTTAAAACCCAAACATCCACACTGAAAAAAGCAAAACAACATGACCAGATTGAACGTACGGGGTCTAGAAACAACGATACCGCCGACGTCCTCCGGGAAGCCATCAAAGAATCCCTTCCACCGATAACTTCAATCTCAATCTTGGAAGCTGAACAAGGCTGGATACAATTAAGGGATGCAATTCATAAAACCAGCAAAGCAATACTGGGAAAGTCGAACAAAAAGAAACAACCAGACTGGTTTAACGAAAATTAACCGCATATACAGGCTTTGTTGGAACAAAAGCATAGAGCACATCAAGCAGTCACTGCAAATCCGCATAATCCAAGACTGGTAGACAACTTTAAAGCAGCCAACAACACGCTTCGAAGAGAACTGCGCCAAGTAAAGGATAACTGGTGATCACAAAAAGCGAATCAGATTCAATAGAATTTCAAGAGTACGCCACGCATCACGATTGTCGTAAATTCTTAGAGGCTGTAAAAGAAGTATAAGGTCCAACTAAGAAGGTAAGCTGCCCAATCATGGCACAAAATGGCGAACTTCTAAAAGAGGAAGAACAAATCAGAAATCGCTGGAAAGAACATTACAGCCATGAGGATATGGCCAAACCAAACCAAGAAAACAACCCCAATATGGAAGCACTAAACACAATACCACAGTATAACAGCCTCGATGTATTAGACATCCCAATAACAGAACAGGAAATAAAGACCTCCATAAAACAGCTTAAAAACAACAAATCAGCTGGCTGTGACGCGATTCCCGCGGAAATCTATAAGTGTGCAAGTAAAGAACTTATTGGTCATCTTAAGGTTCTCTTCGATGTCGTATGTGAAAGCGGAGAGGTACCTCAAGACTTTCGCAACGCGAATATAGTGAATATATTTAAGAACAAAGGAAGTGTATCAGACTGCGGAAATTACCGGGGAATTTCACTATTGGCTATCGGCGGAAAAATTCTTGCAAAAATAATGTCTAACCGCCTGCACCCATATATAGAAAAAGTCCTTCCAGAATCGCAAACGGGTTTTTGTACCAACCGCTGCACCGTCGATTCCATATTTTCCATCCGTCAACTACAGGAAAAAGTAAAAGAGCAGCAGTCTAAACTTTATGTTGCATTCATCGATCTAACAAAAGCCTTCCACTCTGTGAACAGAGATGCGCTGTGGGCAATTATGAAAAAGTTCGGAGTACCCAACAAATTTCTTACAGTGTGTAAAAGCCTCCATAACAACAAGTCAAGAGTGTCACATCATGGATCACTGAGCGACCCATTCCTAACAAATACAGGAGTTAGGCAGGGATGTGTCTTAGCGCCTCTCCTATTCAACATATTCATGGCAGCGCTCTCCATTATAGTGGACAGCAAACTGCAGGAGAGAGGATTGGGCATTAGATACAGATACGACGGCGGTCTGTTCAAAATAAAAAGACTCAGGGTAAAAACTTGTACAAAATTCATCACAGAACTTCAATACGCTGACGACTGCGCTCTAGTTGCAAACACGGTACATCAATTACAAGAAATGTTGAACACATATACCTGGGCATACGAGGCTTTGGGCCTTAAGCTAAACATCGACAAAACTAAAATCATGTGCACTCCCCCGGAAGATCACAACAACGCTATAAAAATCGGAGAACTATTGGAATATGTGGCGGAATTCAATTACCTTGGCAGTTTGATTTCGGAAAAGGCCAATATTGACTCCGAAATTCAGCACAGGATTAGTAGCGCCTCGAGAGCATTCTGGAAATTAAAAGATAGGGTTTTCTACAATCATGACTTGAGTACAAACACAAAACTTGCAGTGTACCGAGCAATTATAATCCCCACTATGTTATATGGGAGTGAAACCTGGGTGCCGTACCGCCGACACATGAACGCATTAAATAAGTTGCAACAGAGACACCTTAGACAACTCTTAAGAATCCGGTGATTCCATCATGTCTCAAACGTATCGGTCCTTGAAAAAGCTAACTGCGAGAGTATTGGAGTCATGGTTACAAAATCCCGCTTAAGATGGGCTGGTCACGTATACAGAATGCAAGAAAACCGCATACCAAAATCTCTGCTTTACGGTGAGCTTGTGGACGGTAAGAGAAGGCCGGGTGGACAACTGAAAAGATACAAGGACATTTTCCACGAAAATTTAAAGGGAATTAACATGCAGAATGAGTGGGAAAAAGCAGCTCACAAGAGAACTCAATGGAGAAGGGTTGTAAACTCAGTTAACAGCGGCAACCAAAAAGTAGAGAGGCAACAAAGCAATGAGATTTTTGAATGTCCGGAGTGCGGTAGGCAGATAACATCACGTATCGGGCTTTTCAGTCACAGAAAAGCTCATGAAAGAAAACGCCTCGCGTGACCATCTTCTTTATGTGTGTCGAATACTCGTCAGCGAGTAACGGCTGTTATGTTAATACGTTTTTTATTTAAAAGTCACTGAGATCTCCTACAATAAATTAAAATTCTTAGTAAATGTATTCAAATAATTAAATTCAATTTCAATTATTTAATGTGTGTATTTGACGAGCTTTATAGATAACGCTAAGACCTACGCTAAACGCTAAAAATAAAAATATTTCGACAGCGCGATGATGCGACTGTCCTCGTTACGCCATTTTGAACGCCGCCGAACGCGAGCCAAGGTCAGCGAATTTTCCGGTCGCGATGACGTCTCCCGTTCGCTTTTTTAGTCGATTGGTGATGCGGTTTCTGAAACACATAACACATCGTGTGAACACATCTCGTTCGCGGTATAAAATAAAAAATACCGTCTCGCGCCGCCATGAGTTCGGCTGTAAAATACAAATAACTTTACAATCATCCTTCAATTCTATGGTCTATTCAGAAAAATTAAAACTATTGAAAGAATTCAAAAAAATTAAAAACTATGAACATTGAAAAAAACTGTTCAACATTATATTACAACATAAGAAAATACCAGAAGAATGGAAACAAAGTATAACAATACCCATTTTTAAAAAGGGAGATAAAACAGACCCAGCAAACTATAGAGGAATAACATTACTGAGCACCTCGCTAAAACTTCTGACTAAGATCATTGCGGACAAAATCTCCTCAATAGTGCCAATAAGCGAGGAACAACAAGGATTCCGAAGAAACCGATCAACTACCGATGCACTATTCATACTCAGGCAACTAGTTGAAAAATCCTTAGAATATAACTCTCCAGCCTATCTATGTTTTATAGATTTAACAAAGGCCTTTGATAGAGTCCAACTAAAAGACATCATGACCATCTTGGAAAGCAGTAATGTCTCGAAAGAACTCACAGAACTTATCAAGGACTTAAACACAACAACCCAAATAAGAACAAACTTTACCTTAACGCAGCATCTTCGAACTACAACGGGTATTCGCCAAGGCGACAGCCTCAGCCCTCTGTTATTCAACACAATCATGGATCAAGTAATAAAAACCGTCAAGAATACTGGAATTCCACAATTCCAAATTTCCACAAATAAGACCAAATGCATGACCATTACAAAGGAGCCTCTACGGTGCAAATTGGTAATAAAAAACAAAACTATTGATCAGATAATGTCATTCGAATACCTCGGATGCAAAACTACAAGCTCAGGATTCCTGGAAGAAGTAAGGAAACAAGCCAATAAAGCTGCCGCAATATCAGGACATCTTAAATATCCCATATGGAAAAACAAACATTTGAGTACAGAATGTAAGCCAAGAATATACAAAACTTGCATACAACCAGTGATGACATATGGTGCGGAAACCAGAGCTGAAACATCAGTAACAAAGAGAATCCTACGAACTGCTGAAATGAAGACCTTAAGAATGATAACTGGATACACATTGAGGGACAGACAGAGAAATGTAGACATAAGAGAAAAGTGCCAAACAAACGACGTTGTCAGATGGATAAGGCAGAGAAGAAGAGAATGGAACCAGCATGTCAATAGAATGGGCCCCGACAGAATGGCCATAATAATTCGCAACAACGTACCCCATGGCAGAAGACCTACTGGACGACCACCTAAACGTTGGCAAGACAGTTGGCAGTCAACCTCGCAAGAGTTGCTTAGACGAGGAGGAAACCGGAACTAAACAGGCGATACGCCTTCTAAAAGAAGAAGAAGAAGAACATTGAAAGTTCATTACTAGAGGGTATGCGTTCTTCTCCTTCATTTGTAGAAAATGTAATAGTTTTCGCAAATATGCATACTAGAAAAATTGATGTTAATTTTAAAATTTAAAATCCAACAGATACGTTCACAATTTTACTTTTTTCCAAAATTTAGTTCTTTTTTAAATTGGTTTGATTATTTTTTTAACATTTTTTGTATATTTTATTTTTGTAACTCCAAAATTAAAGATTTAAATAAAAAAACTTTATTGTGTCGGTAAAATGTTGATTGCAGTTACTT